TAACCATTTTAGAAACCTTTACCCTCCTATCCTGAGGCATGCAATTTCAAAAGGATGCCACACAACCTTCAGCTTTTAGTCCCTCCTCATCCATCCCAGTTATCCACATTCTGAGGTGCTGCATGTATCGGTCCAAATTGCTCTCAGGCAAGCTAATTCAGAACACCACAGCCATGTATTGTGGACGCATTTATTTATAAGCCAGGTCTCAATATGTAGCCCAGGCTGGCCTTCAACTCAAGGTCCTCCAGCCTCACTCTTCTGTATGGATTACTGGGGCCTCATCACTTATGAGCAGTTGGGAAAAAAGGACAAATTGGGTTGTTTGCCTCGCAGCCCATCAGCCAGCCCAATACTAACAATGCAAGTACTGCTGGGCTCATTCCACACCTTCCACAAGAGAATAATTTTTAATAATCAGTACTCTCTGGGAGACAGAAGACAAAAGTTAATGACAACAAGTGGACGGACATCCTTAAATAAAGCTTGATCCTTGTTCACTGAAACTTGGCACGTAAACGCAACCAAGGAAAGCCCAAAGCAGAGAACTGTGGGGAATAAGAGCGTGGTGACCAATGCTTTCCCTCGGATAACCCATCACTGCGGCACTGATGTGTTTGTGACCAGCTGGGGAATTTACGTCTCACTCGTGAGATGTTAACAGACACCTCCCCTCTGAGAAAACAACACGGTGCGCTCCTTAAAGCTATTTTTATGTTCCCGGCTTGGGAATGTGATGCTGGGAACTTATCGTAAGGAAACCATGCAAGAGCATCACACAGCTCTGGTCCTGGAGCTCCTCAGTGTTGCCCACCTGCAGGAGCCAGAACAGCAATGTCAGCATTCAACAGCAGATGGCTCATTTAACAGTGTGCAACATTAACATGGTAGCATGCCACCATCATTACAGTAGCTATGGGGCCACACAGAAGCCTGACATCAAAGGGGGAAATTACACACACATGCTTGTGACCATAGAAAAACATGGGCGTGTGCATGTGCAGGGCTCTGGAAAACAGTAGCAGCTATAGTTTCTGTCCTTTGTGTTTTCTTCTGTATCTTAGCCCTCTTTTCCTTAATAATGTGGCATCGTGGCTGAGGGTATGGCTCAGGGGCAGGCTGCTTGCACACCACAAGGCCCTGTGTTCCATCACCAGCACTAGGAGATGGGAGGGATAACAAATAATGTTAAGACTGTCTCATCTAAAGTAAAATGTACATTCTCTGTATCTGACTGCCAAATAACTGGAAAACGAGAGTATTCAACCCCGATACCCTAGTTTGAAGGCATGCCACTGTGTAACTGGAAACAAACAAAACAAAACAGTGGCCAGTAAGGGAGAATCGAGTCACCTGGGTAAGTACTACAGCAGAAATATTCTAGGAGTTTTGCACCATAAACAATGTTGACCAGGGCACATGGACACTGGTATTAACCCCCAAAGAGTCCTTTAAGGGTATCACCATGAGCCGGGCAGTGGCAGTACATGCCTTTAATCCCAGCACTCAGGAGGCAGAGGTAGGTGCATCTCTGTGAGTTTGAGACCAGCCTGGTCTACAGAGCAAGTTCCAGGATAGGCTTTAAAGCTACAGGGAAATCCTGTCTCGAAAAACCAAAGGACTATCACCAAATCCTCTCATTGAGAGGAGGACACTGGTAGAGAACTATCTAAACTCACAGGGCTGATGGCTGTGGGAGAGAGTCGACCTAAAGTCTATGCCCACGGACCCAGTAAATGCAGGGTTCTTTCCAGTGAGCAATGGATAATAACAAGCATTCCTAGCAAGCAGTATGCATTTGTAAAATTTACTACTGTATAGTAAAGGCCTCATCTCCCTTTGCCACCATGAAGCAGGCCAACAAGTGTGAAGCTGGGTCTGTGGTCAGAGTGAGACGCGGCCCTCGTGTGCTCTGGGTGGACATTTATGACCCAGCACGTGGATATCCAGCTGCATCAGATGCCTCTCCACTGCACACACACGTCTAAACACCTCTGCTGGCTACAATCCAAATCTCTAAATATGCGCTGAGGTAGAGCCTCTCACCCCCACCTATCCTCTGTCTGTTGGGTTCTTTCCCAGCACAGCAAGTCCCACTTAATCAGCCTATGAGCAGAAGCTTTTCATAGTCAGCCCTTCCTGGGAGGGTGTTAATTTCCCTGGCTACCACCCACACTGTGTGCAAACACATCACTAGCATCTCCATTCACCAGCCTGGTGGTACTGGCTGCTGCCATCTTAGGGAGTGGGTAGGGTAGAAAGACTTCTCAGTGGTTAGGCTGCTTTTCCAGAGGACCTTGGTTCAGTCCCCAGCACCCACATGGTGATGCACAATCTATTTTAAGGAGATAATAACTAATTTGCAATTGTTGCACATCTGCCCATGAGAGACTTCCTAGAGCCAATATAAAAAAGGAAGGACGAGTCTGCAGAGCAGCAGAGAGCTGGGACACCCACACCATCACACAACTTCAATTTTCCAACCTCCCCAGCCCACAACATGGAAACAAACTTGACGAGAAGGGCACATGGGATTGCTTTTTAAAATAGTCTTCAGAGCTGGGAAGTGTTGGCAGCATTTAATCCCAGCACTTGGGAGGCAGAGGCAGGTGGATCTCTGTTGAGTTCTAAGTCAGCCAGGTATACATTGTGAGTTCCAGGACAGCAAGGGATGTTACACAGAGAACTTTGTTTTGAAAAATCAAACAAATAAGTAAATGAATAAAAATTTTTAAAAAGTAAATAAAATAGCCTCTAGAACACAACAAGGCTTGATTCATCATCGCTGGCTCTGGCAGTGTCTATGCAGAGTTCCAGCCATCACAGGGCAACAAGCTGGGAACAGTGGCAGGAGCTTCTGGGGCTGTCCCAGCGGCAGCCACTGTGGACACTGCACTTTTCATTCGTTCATCCATTCCCTAGTGTGTCAGAGACCCCAATGGTGTGTCCTGGAGCCACCACTCATTGAAAGAGGGCTGGAAATGGCCCTGAGGTCAGGATCAGACAGACTTTGAGAGGGCAAGCGTGGTCCCAGGTGTACCCTATATAAACCAACCCACCCTCTGAGAAAAAAGTAAGTTGGAAAGCATGGATCAGTTGTAATGATCTGTTCTGTCTCTTTAAGAGACAAGCCACTCCCACTCCCTCCCCTGTCTGCCGAGACAGGCTGATCTTCAGCTTCTAGCCTGAGTTCCTCCAGTTTTCTGTCTCCCTCTCAGAGAGGCAGCTTCTCCCTTCTCTCTCCTCTCTCCCCCTCTCTGCTCTTCTCCCCTTCTCCCCTCCCTTCCATAAACACTAAATAAATATCCAACCTCACTCTGCCTATCCATGTCTCTGTCTCTCTTCCACTGCCGCCACCGCGTGTCTCCCTGCCCTGGACCAGCCACTGCTTGGGGACCTGCAGCATTTTTAATAATCCATTTCAACAGTGGCTCTGCTTGCTATGAATGAACTATCAACTATGGCCCTACAACTGCTCTCACTACAGTTAGTGAACAAAGCCAAACAAACCTCAAACCTTTCTGTAATTTTGTATATAAATCCAGTTATTTCCAATGAAATACAAGTTAAGCTAAGTGAGTTTGTGCTTGCTTTTATTTCACACATGTAAAAACATGCTGAAGAGAGCTGGAGATATAGCTCAGTTAAAGCACTTGCCTACTGTGGGTGAAGGCTCTGCCTGCACTGTTCTGTTGAACACAAACCCATCACCTGGTTCCTGGCACTTGTTAAGATTTCCCCTATTTTGCTCATCTGGAAGTCCTCACTATCAGATGTATCATTCTGCTGAATTGTGTCAGGATAATTACAGTAAGCATGGCTCTTTAAACACTCCAGTTTGACTATCCAAAACCAAGAGTGTTCGCCCACACTGCTCAGTACCAAGGAAAGTAAGGACAGGGGCTGAGGGTGCATGCAGCTCAGGGTTGCTTAGCAAGTTCCAGTGTTGGATTCAATACCAAGCACCCAAGAGAGAAAGATGTGTTCCTAGCATGAGCCCCTAGCCACTTGCTATTCCGTCTTGTTAGACTGGGATCCAGTGGAGCATTCGTCAAAGAAATAGCAGACAAGAGAATGATGAGGGATGTTCAGCAAGGCTAGAACTTGACAGCAAACTGACATCCCACCTATTTTCCCTATTAAGTGGAGAACTTTCTCTAACCAGGTTCCAACAGATACTGCTAACATTAACAGGCATTTCTTTCCAGTTGCTTCTTTATTCACAAACACACACTCAGTCACAGTTACAAGGGGACTGCCAACCACAAACCAAGCATGATGCAGCTGTTAGACAAGACCTGGAAAGATGGCTAGGAGTGGTACACACCTGTAATCCCAGCACTGGGGAGGCCGGAACAGAACTCCAAATCTGAGACCAACCTGATGAGACAGCAAACTCAGGACCAGCACAGGCTGAATAGTGAGATCCGGTCCCTAAGTCCCGTAAGTGCCACCTCTGGCACACCTGCCAGGTGCTAGCCTAATGGGTTAGCACTACTGAAAGAGGTGTCTGAGACAGAGCTGCCCCATCACTGCTGAAGGTCATGTGCTGGTCCTGGGGCACTGTGGCAGTGCTATGGACCCCAGTCTTTCTTCCCTCAGAGCTGACACCGCAGCTCCAGGGTCAGGGTTGGTGTTGAGAGAGGTTGTTGCATCTCGTGGTGTGGGAAACAGGTGAACAGCATGGAAAATCATACTTAGAAACTTTTAACAACATTCTTTACACCAAAAAAATGACAAAACACTCCAACTCCTGGATAACAAAACTCTTGACTTGGATTAGAGCCTAAAAATTGAAAAGTCAACACAGAAACACCTGAGCTGAACCACCCACCAGTTACACCAGTCATTATGAAGAGATATGTGTTTCAGTCTTTAGAAAGGCCACAAACTGAGTTCGCTCTGATCTGGAAGGTAGCTTCCCAGGCTGATTCAGCTGGGCCAGGATCCAGGATAAGATCACCCTCTTGCTGCCTACAAAATAGGGGGAGTTTTCTTACCTTGTTTCCAGGGGTACAGATGGCTTTGTTTCAGGGGCTTCTGTCTTTCAACGGCATTGCCCATCCCTAAAACCAGCCGATCACAGTGCCTTTCCCAGCCCAGGCGTCTCCACTGAATGGCGAGTAGGAAGCAAGCCACTGGCTGAAAGGGGACTCATCCCTGGGATGACACGCACACACGCACGACCCAGCAGCCCCAGGCAGAGCCCCAGGAGGGCTGACACACCCTCTGGAGAAAGCAGGAACTCTGTCACTCTAAAAGGCCTCAGCTTCTTTCCTTTCAAATTCTTTGGTGGTACTGGGAGGAAACTAGAAGGAAGGGTGTTCCTGCCCCACTGGTGGCTGCAGTAATCACTGCATTCAGCAGCTCTTTCCTCGGCTTCCTTTGACATCACTCACTATTCACGAGTACAGCAGTGGCCTGGGGGGTGGGGGGGCGACTGCTCTCCTCTCGCTGCTGCTGCTGCTTTCCCAGGGGAAGAAGAAATTGGTGATCCAGGTGCTGAAAGTCACAAAGGGCCATTCTAGGGTGTGCAGTGAGAACCTCGCACAGACCCCTATGTCACACCTTCTATTTAAAGTCTGTTTCAGCCCCATGACATGGTCCTCATGGTCTGAGGAAACAGGCTGATTCCATTAACACTGTGTCTCCAAGAGAAAAACAAAACACTCAGATGCAAGGGACGTCTTCAATCACAAAGGAAACAAAATGCTAACACAGCCTTTCATGGTATGCACCCCGAGTTCTAAACCCTGATTCTATCCGAAGAACAATTTTCTGGAGAAGGCGTCACGCCACCTGGTTTGCAGGAAGAAAACAAGGGCATGAAGTCTGGGGAAAGGAAGAAAAAACCAAGGTGGGTGTCAAGTCTAACTTATTTCAACGCCCCACAGCAGGGACTAGAAATGCTGCTAAGGGAATCAGGGCAAGAATGCCGGCTCTGGACACAGTCAGACCTTCAAACCCAGCTCTGCCATGGTGTTGCCTATAAAGCCAGCAGCCTCAGTTTTCTGATCTGTTGAGTGGACACATCACCAGTCCACTTCTGCCACTTGCACTAGATCCACTTATGAAAGCTTAGTACATGTTCTTCACGACTGTCTCCTAACTTCAGACTCCAAAGCTACAGCAGGTCGGAAGGAAAAGCCCACGCTCCAGGTTAGTCAGTGGCACACAGGAGACATGTTCTGTGAAACTGGTTGGCATGGCATAGAAGCAAACTGAAGTAGCCTGAAGAAAGCACCCAAAAGCAGAACCACAGAAAAGCTTAGTACTCTTTCCACCCCAGGTGCTGCTCCAGCCAGCTCTGGAGAAAGGCCCCACTAAATGAGGCAGGATGGGGAAAGAGATCCTCAGGTGCTGTGTTTTCCTCCATCCATACAGAACACATTTCAGAAAATCACAGCCTGAAGCTTCCAAACTTGGCAAAACAAAAATCATACCCAGTGCATCTTTCCAAGGTTGATGCAGAAATGAGAAGCAGGAGGGTCCTGTTTCCCTCACTGCACACTGAGACTCCCCCGGTCACAGTGCAACCACACACTGGACAAACCGACAGCAGGAACCGCATGCCTGTGCAGCGCAGCAAAGCTGCATGTCAGTCAAGACTGATTTAAACCCAGCTTTACCCCTGCTAGCCACACCTGACCCTTTTCATGAGCTGGAGTAACTTCATCTGTCTCTATTAAACACCCGAACACCTTTCCTCAGGGAAGTTCCAGCTACAAATATGCCATCTGATCTTGCTTCTTCCACACTATATATATATACATATATATATATAATATATGTTCAAAACCAACACACTAAAGAGGATCTGGTTAGATCCTGTATTTTTAACATCTTCCACTTAGACAAAGTTTTATTTTATTAGCATTTGGCAAATAACTTATGCAGCTGCCCACTAGGACAAGATCCTGTCAGAAGTTCTACTTGGCATTGCTGAGGTGTGGATGGGATGGAGAGTGAAGGAGAGAACAGCAAGAAGTCCCACCTGGTCCCCACGCCGGACCAGATTAACTACACAGAAACTACCTGAACCCATGCAGGGCTTCTGCCCTGGTGTGTCACCCACATCACCACTGCCCTACTGCTCTAGAAAGTCACTGATGCTGGGATCTGTGTTGGAGGAAGGTCACTGGTTAAAAAAATAAAGAAACTGCTTGGCTGGCCCTCATAGGTTAAAACATAGGTGGGAGGAGTAAACAGAACAGAATGCTGGGAGGAAGAGGAAGTGAGCTCAGAGACACCATGCTCCCCTCTCCAGGGCAGACGCAAGCGATGAAGCAAGCTGCCAGGTCAGACATGCTGAATCTTTCCAGGTAAGACCGGTGCTACACAATTATTAGAGATGGGTTGATCGGGATATCAGAATTAGCCAGTAACGGCTAGAGCTAATGTGCCAAGCAGTGTTTAAAAGAATACAGTGTCCGTGTAATTATTTTGGGGCATAAGCTAGCAGGCGGCTGGGGTGCTGGGGATGCAGCCCCGCCGCTCACATTACTACAGATCTGATTATGATGGATCCATACAGTGCATGGACTCAGGGTCTGGTGAGATGCTTCAGCAGGTGAAAGTACTTGCCTCAAAAAGCCAGAGTGTGGTCCCCTAGAAATCCATGTGGAAGGAATCCTGAAAGTTGTCCTTTGGCTGTCACACATGTACTAGGTATGTGTTCTCTCAATGGAGCATGCGCATGTCCACACTCACATATATATACACTCACATGTATCTCTACATACAATAACAATAACAACAGCAAATGTGTACAGAGCTGGGCTCAGGTTCTGCCTTCTTAATTTTGAGTTGTTACTCTAGTGGCAGGGTTCCCATGAGCAAATGAACTCAAGATCCAAATAGTACATCTACGGATAACACTGGCAAACAAACAGAGCTTTCACAAGAGCACAATTTTCTTGAAGACTTGGTAGCTCAACCGCTTCTGAGACAACCCTGGTTACAAATGTTCAAACCTGTGCTGCTTCAGTGGGGTAGGGGAAATGAGCAGAATAGTCCATTTTTAAGGATTCCCCCTGAATTGTCAAGTCAGAGAAAGTATCCCTAGAAACATCCCAAAAGGTAAATATGCTTGTCAGTCAAGACTGTCTGCCACTTCCCGTGTAGGGAGCCAATAGGAGATGCTCACAGAGAGGACAAGACAAAACCTGAAGGACAGCGGGACATGGTAGCTCCAGCCTGTGATTTCAGCACTTAACAGGCTGAAAGAGGAGGACCCCATGAGTTCAAGACCACCAGCCTAGACTATACTGTGAGTTCCAGGCCAGCTGTAATACAAGAAAAACCCTGTCTCAAAGACTAAAGCAAACAAAAGCCAGTGCCACCAGAGTGGACGGCCCTATTCACAGCCACCAAGGCCATGCTTCCCATGGTCCCACAAACACCAGAAGGCACGGGGAGTGCACCTCTTTCACACTAAAAGGAAGCAGGGGTGTGGGGTGGGAGATTATCCTTGCCTAGGAAAAACTTCCTCCTGACAAGAGAAGGAGGAGTACGGGGCAGAGGACGGGACAGAAACTGGCTTTGGAGAACAGCTGGCCTGGTTTAAAGCTCTGAGTGTACTTCTGAGCTGGTGAACTGTGACAGAAAGGAATCAAGGAATCGCTCTGAACTTTATTTTCTCATGTATGTAAACTGTATACTATCAAGTCACCAAGCGACCCTTGGAAAGGCAGCTCTAAAGGCCAAAAAGCTCTAAAGTAAGTTACAAAGTGTTGGCACACAGCAGGCCCTTAATGAAGAACAGCTACTGTTGCTGCTTTCATTGTGATTATCTACAAACTACAAGCCTTGGCTGCAACTGGAAGAAATGATTTACCCTTCCAAGAGCTGGCCCTTGGAGCTCAGAGCTACCGCTGCACTGCTAAATAGCTCACTTCCCTTATATAACTAAACTAATACTTCACTTATGGCACTGCGAATATCTGAGCCATGGGAATATTTTGATTGTGGGAAGCAACATAAACCAGAAATGTAACACTGTGGACTAAAGTTCAAAACATTTTAGGGAGAGTCCTCCCCTCAGCTCCCCTCATGAACTGCAGGATGCAGAAGAAATCTAAGCCAGCGTTGTACAAGGCACTGCTCACTGACTGAAATGGCTCAGAAAGAAAAAGCCCTGCAGGAGGTGCCAGTGTGGAGACCCCCACAGGGGCAAAGAAATAGCAAGGGGCTCTTGGGTGGTGCTCAGGAGCTGACACCCAGCTTTGTGTGAGTCTGTCTGCTGGGAGGAAAGTCTGATGCTGGTCATTTCCCTCCTGGAGAAAATACAACAATACGAGGAAGCACAGAGCCTGGTGGGAATGTTCCATGGGGGAGGGGCTGGGGGAACCTGTTCTGCCCTTGCTCAAAAGGCTGAGCAGAGCAGAGGTCAGATGTCAAGGTCAGGCATGAGGCAGAGCTCAACGGCCAAATTTTTGGGTCATCTGCTGACATCCTGCACAGCAGGCAAAGGCCCTGGCTGGAGTGGAGTGTGTCGCAGAAGCACCAGGATCCTCTTCTGAGACTTCAGAATGAGGCTTAAGCATCAGATGTCACGCACAAGTCATTTGAGTACCATGCTGAGGGGCTTACTGGGGAAGCACAGCACCTAATCCAATCAGCAGGTCAGGAAAGGAAGAAGGATGAGAACTGATGGATGGACAGCAGGGTGGTTCAATGTCACTGAAAGTACACAAAGGAAGTGGTGAGCATGGGACAGGTAAGGGAGGGTTCTTTCCTTAAAGTGTTGTATCATATTCATGTATTTTTCTGGGAAGGGAAGTTCATGGTTTTCACTCTCTTAAAAGGCTCTAAAAAGTCAAGAATCACCAAGTTTGTCTAAATCATTTCAATGAAATGGGGAAACTGAGTGTCTTAGTTATGATTCTATTGCTGTGATAAAACACCACGACCAAGGTGACTTAGAAAGCTTGGAGGCTCAGAGTTCCAGAAAGTTAAGAGTCCATGGTCATCATGTCAGGCAGCAGGGCAGCAAGCAGGCTGGCATGACCCTGGATCAGTGAGTGGCCGAAAGCTGATATCCTGACCCACAGAGGCAGCCGGGAGAGGGTTGCTAACTGGAAATGGTGTACCCCTTCCCCTCATGACACATGTCCTCCAAAAGCCACATCTCCTAATCCTCAAACGACTCCCAGGATGGCAGATAACGTGTGGATGAGTCTCAGCGAATGAGGCTCCATAGCT